CACCCCCGGAGGCAGGTGCTCCGGTGATGGCGTCCCTTGGCCCGAGTCTGACCGTTGCTGTCCGCCTCATTACGCGTCCTTGTCCAGGCGCGAACGCCAGCCAGTGTTGCAGCGTGAGGGCAGCACAGAAGTTCCCTTTCTTCCTTTTATCTTCTGTTGTCTGCACGTTCCTAATGTCTAGTCCCTTTTTCAGTGTTGCTCATGCGCTCCTCCCCTTCATGCTGCTTAGTCCACCTTTCCTGTTTCCCTAACATTGTTATTTAAGTGGTTATTTAACGTTTCACTGATTTCACTGGCTAGCAGCCCCAGGTTCTCTTATCCTCTTACTTAGAAGCAACCCATAGTGCTGGTGTTTTCACTTCGATGTTGCTCAAAAAAAGAGAGGCAGGGGATGCCATAAGGTTACGTTCATAAGATAACTTCAGTGTCAGCTATGTTATCAAAAGTATTTTCCCTCTTTATCTGTAGGGAGGGGTGCAAGCACGAATACCAGTTTCCTAACACAACACTAGTTTTAAGTATAAGGTTATAGTGAGCTGGGGCAGCGAGGCTTACGCTTACGGTCTCCATGTGCCTGAGGAACAGATGCTGAGCTAAATGTCATTTGGTTATAAAGAAGACTCAAATGATGACCTGTGGGAATATTTCCTTGTAGGCTAGGCTCTGCAGAATTAGGACTAAAGTCTGCATGGCACCATCTTTTGGCAAGTGTCTACAAGATGAGTTCTGGACAAGGTCATGGAGAAAGGAAGATGCTCGCCCACCCTGTTTTTTTGGTACCTGGGGATGTTTGCAGTCAGAAAACTGGCGCGTTAATGGTGTTAATAATTATCTTGGGAGACAGAAAGTGCCATCTGTGTGTCTGTGCCATTCGGCCCCTGCTGCTGTGGTCCGAGAAAAGGCTGTGGATGAGAAAACAGAAGAGTTCAAACTGGTCTACAGGTTTCCAGGGATTAAGTACTGCAGGGTACTGTCCAGACTGAAGCTGTTACAGACTGCCACCACCATGGTCGTGCTGCCTCCCATCTGCTACCTCTATCTGCAAGACCAGGTTTCTCAGAATATCCTCTTGTATACAACTGGCATTGCGTTCTTTGCTGGTGCAATGTTGTATGGTATGAGTTACTTTTTCAGACGAATTATTGGATTAATCTACCTAAATGAAACTGGCCGTACTGTCAGAGTGGCCCACTTGACGTTTTGGGGAAGACGGAATGACATTTACTGTCCCATAGAGACAGTGATGACTTTGGATGAAGTTGGAGATAGCAAGGGGGAGCTACTTCTCCAGTTCAAACGGTATAATACTACAGATGTTTTATATTTTACGATTAAGTTTGGCCAGATTGTAGACAGACAGAAGTTTATTCAAATATTTGGAGAACTTGAGTGATACAGCAGCTAATTTCCAGCGATTTTTCTTTGTTGCATGTTCATTGTGCTTATTCTTCTGTGAAGTTTAATTAGTTACCAAACTGACATACTTCTGTCATTTTCCTGTGCAAAGCCTGCTAGTAAGCACACTCAGTGTAAAAAGTAGAAATGGTAAAGAACAATCTACGGGATTAAATGTCTTTGCAGCTTGTTTAAGGTGTGAGCAGCGTCTCTTCTGTGTTGGATACAGCGATGTGCATGGTGTGCTGTCACCGGCAGTTCTAAGTCTAAACTGTCCTACCTGGAATGTGCAGTAGGAGCCAAATTACTGATGCTGACCCTGACTGTTTCAGCTGGCCTCTTAGATTGCTTTTAAACAGGAAAAACTCTTGAAGTGAAATGCAGTACCTCTGCCAGAGCACTCTCACTTTAAATTCATTGTTTCTTTTAGCAAATTTTAGGTTAACTGGGAAGCCTCTTGGAATTAAAACTTGTCTTATCACTTATATGATAAATAATGCTGGATGTCAGAGATACACGGTCGTGCATTACTGAAATGGAGGGAACTGGAAGGAGCGGTATTTAATGCTGTGTAAGGTGTGTGGGGTCTCTCAGCAAGGTCTTCCAGGATGTGAACATAACTGGGCAAAACAGGGGTGCATCCCTAGACACATTGACAGTTCAGCTGTAAGGGTAAGGTAAAGACTGGGACAGTGTTTCAGTGTTCCAGTGTCTCTCTGGTAGAAATTGCTTTCCCACTGGAATAAAGGAAAAACATACCTAAGCTATGATGCTGTGAATTATAGGGACAATCTGTGATCCTTTGTTCAGTTTGGATCCTAATGATCATGTGAAAATTTGGAACTACTTGTCCTTTGCATATATTCATGTTTGTGTAACACTTGAGTTGCAAAAACTTCAGTAAATGTTACCAAAATTATCTTAGACTGTGCGAATTAAGCAGTCTTCTGTGAAAATTACCATATAGCCTGGGAAACGAGTCATCTGTATCCCTTGATGTGCTTACTGATTTGGGCATATTTTACCATCAGTTCTGTTGCCAAATACCCTTTCCACTCCCTACTCCCCCAGTGTGGGTTTACCTAAAATGAAAAGAAAAAAGGTAAGACACGTAAAAGCTATGTTGAATTAAGGCTGAAAATATGTGTACTTTGTATTCTGTTGAACTTGCAGGGTTTATCACCTCAGCACCTGTGTCCGTGAAGGACGGTGGTCTTATTCTGTGGTGTTAGTATGATTCCTCCTTTTCCAAACCCAAAACGTCAGTAGGAATGAGGAGCAGGATTTAAACCTGAGAAAGAATCAAACCTGATCACTTGCAACATGTAAAACTTTCTTTGAATTGTCAGAAGCAAGTTAACTCCTTACACTGCTCTTCTGGCTGTTTTTTCATTTGAAACACTGGCAAATAAACTGACCCTCACCAACAGAGACATTTGGAGTGTTCTTTTCCCCGATTCTTCCTCGTGCACATTGCAACCTCTGCCTCTTGGTGGATTGGCAGATGCAGGTAAGTAAAATTGCCATTTAAGTGCATGGGGTAACCCTGATTTACTATTTATTCGTGTTGAACTTTTCCTAATGGGGGCTCCATTATTTTAAATTTTGGCTGATACTGTGTGGTACAGCAGTATCAAAAGGAAAAGAAGCGTTCCTTGGCTTAAACGCCATGGCAGCAAAATACAGTGGACTGTATGCATATAGCATGTTTTCTGGAGGCTTATCTTCATAAGAGTATACTTAATATGCACTAATGATTCAGTTTAGGTATGTACTAGGTGTAAAATAAAAAGTCCTGGACAAGTTCAATTATAAATATTTTATTTAAGAATATTGATTACACATGAGATGCCGTTTTTTATGAATCTGTGTTCAGTTACTAAGTTACACCATGAAGTGTAATTAAGTATTTGTTTAAACATTTATTTGGCACTGTCCACAGTATGCTGTAAACAATATTAACTTTATATGCTTCAGCTGCAGTGCTTTCTATGTATTCTCTAACATGATTTCATTAACATGTTGTACACAATTATACAGTTACTGAGTGTCAGTAAAAATTATAAAAACACCTAGAGTATTCATAATAAAAGTGAAGATGTGGTAAGACTTCAAATTACTGGACCTTTGCTTCTGTAAAAGTACAAGACTTGCTAGACACATTTACTAAAACTACTGCACTGATATGTTGAACAAACGAATTCCCCAAATGCTGTCAAATACAGTTCTCGGTTTAGACTTCCCTCTTGCTGATAATACGCTTACAAGGACAGCGATGACAATGAGGTTTTGTTGAACACCAATTCACCAGTCCTTCCCCCAGATTTCTACAACCTCTGTTCAAAAACCTGCTCAGGTTCTGACCAGCTGGTACCAGAATTCTGGTTTCTGCAGAGAGGTTTACAGAAATCCCATTATTTTTAAGCTAGCAGAAGTGAGTGTATTCCCAATACCAGCACTCAAAAAATAAAATGGGAAAACCATGATTAACACTTCTCAAAGCAGGTAAGAAACCTTTCACATTTTGGTAGCTGTATTAAACCTGTAAATTTTTTAGCTGCTCTGTCTCTTACTATGTACTTAAAAATTGTGGTCAGATCCTAATAGGGCAACTGTAAAGTCCACTGTGGTCCCTGGGTTTTGGTGCACAACAGAAAGTTAAACTTAGTAAGCAAAATCCAGATGCTAGCCAAGAAAAAGAAAAAAAAAAGGCACCAGACCTGCTTCAAGTCAGCCTTAAGCAAACAGCAAAGAGTACATAGTAAAGAGACATCCAAAAGAGAAAGAAATTAATGAACTGTTGACACTTTTTGATCCTGTGGCTTTCTAGAAGATCTCTGAAGTATCAATGACTTAGAATTAACTATTAGAACAAAAATAGAGTTACTTTGCATTATAAGTGTGCAGTTAGGACTAGGCCTTCACTATAGTGGTTCTGATGTCAGGTAATGGCTAAGGTCAAGCAATTCTGCTGTGGTATTACAAAATACCTCAAGTATTCATGTAGAACTTGTAACAGAGAAATTAATGGCTATTGTGTATTCTGGGCAAATGGTAAAATAATCTCAGTGGTTCTAGATTGCTGACAGAGGTGGAAGTAATGTGCTTCACATGATTCCCTAAGCATTAATCACATACTTCAAGGTATAGTTTTCTCTGTACAAGTCTGATTGGAAGAGAAATCAAAAGTTTTAAAATCCAGAATGAGGAAAAAAAAGTACAAGTACTTCAGTTCCCCTTACAGCACTGCACACGTGGCTGAGTGCATTAGTGCCTCGGAAGCAGCATGTGCAGGCTGGGCATAGAGTAGCTGATGGCATCCTGATGCAGTTGGTGTGGCAAATGTCTGTATTCAGGGGAATAAAGCTGGAAATTATTCTGTAAAATACTGTACTTGGCAGTGGTGGAAAGCAGAGCTTTCCTTGAAACACCTATTTTATTCCAGCTACCATTAGAGAATGGCACTTTCTGTATGGCAGGCACGTGGCTTTAAGTGTTACGCCATACTTGTTGCTGCTTCTGGGATTACCCGTGAAAACGGACTGTACCAGGTCATATTCAGACTATCAAATAGTCAGGGCCATGAATGTAGAGAGGACTCTGCAATTAATATGACCCAGGCCAGAAGATGGAGGGCCACAGCTTCTACAAATGCACAGTGTGGGACAGCTGCACGTACCTGCTGGTGACCAGTACCAATGCTGTGCCTGGGTCGAGTTTGCATGGAGCAGCTTGCCTTGGGTGGGATTACAGACAGAACACAAACCTTAGTTTATGACTTTACACTTATCTTGTAAGTACAGAAGAGATGAATTAATGCAAACTAATTTCATAGTCAGCTGTTCAGTGCGAGGGAACTGCTTTTTACTTGAAGTTTGCTAAGATGTCACTGAAAATGTTCAGAAAGAGGTGCGCATGATGATCCTTAAAGATCAATGTTGGACGAAAACGAATCGATCTGTCGCCACAGCCTCCCAGCACAACACCTAAAATGAGAACAGAAGAGGTCCTCTAGTCATTTCCATCTTTGCCAAACACCCAGAAAATGCAGGTCCCCGAATGAGGTTCACCTCACTGTGGAGGGTCAACAGAAGCTCCCCAAATCACTGCTAACCACACAACGATACAGCACGTAGTCAGTGGTGCAAGGGGCCTCAAGCATCACAGCAGCTCAGAAGAACACTGTGGGTGCCTGTAGCTGTTCTGTAAAACACTTGGAATGTTGGGACTAATCCCAACATCAGTGGTAAGACTCCATCCAGCGCAGAGCTCGGACAGCATCTGAGACTTCAAAGCTGCAATACTCTACTGGTTAAGTACCTCAACGCCAGAGCAAGACACAGTAGGTTTCTTTGCAATTACTTCGTTTTTAATTACAAAAAGTTAAAATATCTCAGTGCTGGCAAACTTCTTCCTGCAGTACTTTAAATGCATGGTATTTTTTTTACCCCAAAATCAATTAATTCTTTGAAATGTTTGTGGGCAATGAAAATCTGTACCATTGAGCTGAGCTTACCTTGCCTCTAAGCATAGCCTTGGTTTACCATAAAACAAACCACTTGCCTTCTCTCCCTGCTGGCTTAGTTTCCAAGAACAAAAAAACATCAGTGTCTTTTACATTCTAAAATTTTGGTTTCACAATAGTTTAGATGCATCATGCCTGCTGCTTTCAAGAGAGATGAGTGACAGCAAAAACTGACAGCAGCAAACGCAGGGCCCCCACACAGTTAAATTCAGAGAGAATGTCAGGCTTCAGATCACGAGGTTCCCCTCCTGATACCTGGGCTTGTCTACAGCTGGGTAAGAGTTCTGTGCTAAAAGAGGGATGTAGTTGTAGATCTGTGCCTATTTTAGGCAACTCATCATATTTCATTATTAGGTATTCCATAAAATTAATAGTTTTTCTCCCTGTGTTTTCCCGAGTGACAGTTACATAAACTTTCTTCTAATTTTCCTGATCTGTTTCTAGACGTAAGCTATGCCTAGGTGCACCTAAGGTCACTGCAGAGGAATATGAAAGTGATGTCACAAAAACTCATGCCCTACATAGCTCTCTTCCAGTAAGATTTCCAACGTTGGACCTATAGAGAAAGGTAAATGTACACACCATGCAATGGACTGGTCTGATGTCTCTGAAAATACAAGTATTTCCAGAAAGGTCTAAATACAGCTTTGTTCATAATTTCACTTCTGTCCTCTGATTTTGTAGTACACATATACCATATGAATAAGGAAAATCTAAAGCATTACCTATGCTACTGTTTGTCATTTGAAGCTAATCCACACACAAACTTTCTTACCTTTGTTTCTGGCTATTGTAATTAACTTGTTTCTAGTTGCATCGTTTGGAGTGTCAAACGAACAGAATGTTCCTCTTCCTCTCACTCTGCTGATAAGATGAGGGTAACGAGCCTGCAAAGAGAGGTAAGGAAGTATGCATGAGCTACTGCAACAGAGGGCACCTGGTGGCAAGCTCTGCTCTGCCAGGCATTCTGCCACATGGAAACCCTGCTGCTTCCCTCCCTTCTGGTGGAGCAGAGCTATTGCACGGGCTGGATTTCTCTGATAACCTCGTGTCTATTGCACCTCGTGTCCTGTTCACCCCTTTCTGACAATGGTCTCAATAGCCATAGCGTGCAGAGCCCAACAGCAGGCAGGCTCCCTCCTCACAAAGCAAACATCTGAGCAGGCAGTGAGAATGAGTTTGCAGCCCTGAGCTGGGTCAAGCAAAATCTTACTTGGAGCCTCCCGAAGCGAGCGTAAAGCACCTTGCATCTAAAATGCACTACAGGAAAACCCGAGCATAAGTAATCTGGAATGGGGCTAGAAACCAGCTCATTCTTATGCTGCACTAAGACACTTGCTAGTATTATCTGCTTCACGTACTATCAGTTACAATCCTCATCTTTTATAAGAGTAACCTTTTTTGGATAGTACTAGTTGTATTCTGAATGCCTGGCTGATTTTTCTTCTCCTGTGGGGCTCCATAGTTGAAGCTGTGATGAATTTCTCTTAGTCAAGTGAGGGAAAGCTACAATTTCCTTGTTTCAACAGCCCAACAGAATTGTAACAAAAAGTGCTTTCCTTTAAAAAGAACTTCTGGGACAATGAAATGCTAGCTGCTTGTGATAACAGAGACTTCTAGCAAAATAATTTAACTAGCTGCAATTCATACCTTCAGATATTTTGGGGGTCACCCTCTATTTTGGATTAAGCTACATAAACCCAGCATCCTTACGTCAGTAAAAGAAAGTTTACTTCAGTTCAAAATGGGACACAGTTATTCAGACTTGCATTGAAGTACCTAAACCAGCAAGTTATGATTATGGTCTAGTCCTCAGCTGGAGTTCCTCAGTCCAAGTGTTTAAACTGGATTAGGTCTGATACTACCTGATCAGCAAATGTCTCCTCCTTATCTATAATCCTTCCAGACATTTACCTGTAAATCCAGCAGCCCAGTCAGTAGTGCTTTCCCGGCGTGGGTTGCATTGTTTAGAAGGTCTTCTCTTTTAATAACCTTAATGACTTCAGCAAGCATAAGGTTCTTGGATGGATCTCCAAGCCAGGTATTAAAAATCCGATAGGGCTTGGGGAAGGGTGGAAAGAGAGTTGTGGAACATGTTAACAGGCAAATCACTATAATAAAGAAAAGCAAGCCATCAAACTGGTAATGCAAACATCTGGAGTATGAAAAAGCATGCACTAATCTCACCAACCCCCTTGTTTTGAACAGAAACAAAGGGCAACTACTTCATGCTACAAATTTAGTGCATTCTGTCTTGCTGCTCTGACATCTCATTGAAACATGGCTATAGATGACACAGAAATCAGCATCATCTATTCGGCTTTTACATTCAAGTTTTATGTTCTCCCCCTTAATTTTTTTTTCATTTATTACATCTAACGTCATAAAGTCAAAGAAGAAATGAACAGAAACAAAGGGCAACTACTTCATGCTACAAATTTAGTGCATTCTGTCTTGCTGCTCTGACATCTCATTGAAACATGGCTATAGATGACACAGAAATCAGCATCATCTATTCGGCTTTTACATTCAAGTTTTATGTTCTCCCCCTTAATTTTTTTTTCATTTATTACATCTAACGTCATAAAGTCAAAGAAGAAATCTTGCTGACAGAATTTGTAATGCTGACATACAAGCTCTGAAGACACCAAGTTGCCCTCTGGAAAAAGGTGTCAGTTTGTGGTTGGATTTTGTACTGAAGGTTAGTTCATTAGGCTAAACCCAGTTCCCCACCTCCTTCCCACCATGACTGACAGCAACTGGAATAAAAGTGAAGAAGTGACAACAACTTTTGTGTAAGCACAAAGCAAGTATCTATGAAATAGCAGCTCCATCTAGCTGAACCTGCATTACTGAAGGAAAGCTTGTCTCTTCCATGGACAGTTACTCATGAATGGGCCACCACTGAAAATCTTACAGCATTTGGCCTGAACTCCTCTTTGTGGAAAAATCCTCCTGTCATCATCTTCTTACTGAATGTTACCACATCAGCTGGGTCATCCAGGCCCCAATGTTCATGTGCCCAAAATTTTCCTGTGCAGCCACCTCCTGTCTGCACCTCATCCACCAAGAACGCACAACCATGCTGCAGAGACAGATGGAAAGAGCAGGGAACATGAGTCCGCATTTCCAAAACAAAAATATCTCCCTTAGTGAACAGCCAATTACATGCAACATCCCCCCCATACCAATGCCACTCACTGTGCATTAGATTTCACAGTTAAAAATTCAGCTATTTTTTCAGAAAGGCACTAGAAACATATATTCTACCGAAATTCACAAACAAAGCACATGTAAATTTTGTATGGTCTTGAACATTTCTAGAGGAGATCTGAAAACATCTGGGAGGAGTCTGGGTGGCATTTTCAAAGCCTCTGAGGGAAGCAGAACGTCATTTTTAGGAGTTTTGTTTGTTTTAAATAAGAAGTCTCTGCCTCCAATCTGAGTCAGGCATTTGTGGCATAAAGGCAATACCAGCAGCATGATCTGTTCAGTCTAGGGGCCTAAAATGATCCTGGACGAGCTGCCTTTTCAGATGAGTCTGCTGAAAGAGCTACTCATTTTAGCTGGCAACATGGTTTTTTCATGCAAAGGACTACTTTGTTGAAACTTTGGGACAGCTGTATCACAATATTGTAGTTAAAAACAATTGGTAAGTACTTTTGGCAGCATCTCGTTTTAGACAAGGCAAACCTTTTCATTTCGTTATTTACTATATCACCCTTGCATGAGCAGCTGTTAACAGTGGGAAAAGCTGCTTTTTCTCATGGCAGAACAGAATTTTCCAAATGTCACCTATGCTCCTCTCTGTAAGCACACAAATGTTTTGATGGTGAAAAAAGCATGGAGTAGGTCTTACTGAGAGTCATCACTTCCAAACACGTAACTTCACATTCCAAGTATCAAGACATACGTCCTTTTCATTGTTTTATTGGAACATCAGCACTTATGGTTGGACTCAATTTGTGTTTCACCTTTTTTTTTTTTCAATTAAAAACAAGTATGTCAACAAAAAATTACCCTTTTCCAAACCTGCCTCTTCTGAAATTGTTTGAACCCCCTCAACAAATGGGCATTATCATTTAAAGAACACTACTGCGAAATCCATAGTTAATGAATCAGAGTAATTTCTCTCTCACATAGACATTAGAAGAAAATTTATTGGACTGAGGAAACCACCAGATGTGCATCAAATGGAAGAGAAAATACCGTGCTGACAAGGGGTTGCTTGTATCTGAACACAGGTACATAACTACCCCAACTGCTGCTGAGGCCTGTGGAGCTCTCAGAGTGCCTGCGGGGGGGTGGGGGGGAAGGCCTCTGGAGACAACAAGGATTTGCAGGTTTAGCTATCACTGAGTGAACAGCAAAATATTTGATTACCTTTCTGGCAATATCCCGTAGCTTCCTGAAGAAGTCATCTGAAGCATGATTGTCCCCACCCTCTGACTGTATTGGTTCTATAATGATCCCAGCCACAATCTTCTTCTTTTTCCTGTACTTTACAATCAGGTCTTCCACCTGTAAATCAAACGTTTATGGTACATTCTTCTTTCAGGACATTGGCACATTTCCTCCCAGAAAGATTAAATCTCAGCAACAGAACTTCAACTTTTCGTAGACATTCCCAGCTATAAAGATGTCAGGAAGTGCAAGGAATTAACAGGTAATTCCTCCAGGATTTAACACTGCCCTCTTGTTCGTGAATAATGCTTAAGTCTAAATCGTATCCTAAACACATTGTAACTAGTCGCACATTTATCTACAATGGTGTGAAAGCTCTAGCAAATTTCAGCTGAAAGTATGGTGGAAACCACTGTAGCTTGCTATGCCATTGCTGTCATTCCACCTAAGCAATATAGAAGAAAACAGATTTTGCATCAGAAAACAAAACTCGGCTAATGTATTAAAGAAAGTAATCTGGTAAATTTGCTTTTTCTAGTCACCCACTTCAGATACTTTAAAATTAATCAGATGAAATAGTGCAGAAATCCTGTTGCTGATAAAGGGCTTACAAAGAAATTTTAATTAACCTTGTAGTGCTAGTTGCTGCAATTAGTAGAGTCATTTGTACTTGAAATACCACTTCCGGCTTTCAGGGCCCACAACCTCTGTAGGCTGTATAAAGCAATCATTTCCAAAGGGTCCCAGTAAGCCAATTCGCAGACTTTCAAAGAAAGTGTTTGGCTTTTTATTTTGTTTTTTTAAAATAACAGCTTCAAGTCTGTGGATTGATTTTTTGCATCACCCCCCCCAAAGTTATTGTGGAGCAAACACAGGGAAGCAATTTGCTATGCTTTCTGTTTTCTCTGAAGTTAGGCAGGTTTGAATAAGAAGTCTCTTCGATCCAGTCTGCAGAGCCATCCAGAGGCTGCTGTGTCCCTTCGGCACCCCACGGCCCACTCCTCTGTAGTCGGTTACGGTGCTCCAGATCGCGCACTATTTCGGTTCCAGTCGCAGGGCACACTACGCCTTGCTCCCCCCACCGGCACTCAAGACTGAGACCTGGCAAGTGACAGATCCTGGATCCCAGTCAGCCCAACAGGGAACCCCATGGTTCTGGTACCTGGAGAGAGTTTGCCTCCCTTAGACTCTGTTCTGCCCACCTTTCCTTTCTCCTGGGCTAGGGAAGGCACAGAGTCCCTGCCCAGTCACTCCCTGCAGCCACAGGCAGGATCAGAGCTTTATGCCAGAAGGCTACCACAGAAAAGCTGAAAAACCTCTTTGCAGAGGATTATGCACCTGTGCTCTCTCTTAGTCCATGTCCCTTTGCAACATCTGGCAGACAAGTTCACTGTGATATAACAAATTTCTCCTGCATGTGAAATTTCACTTTGGTATGATTCATGTAGACCTCTAATTCACAGTAAGTTGGCTGTTCTTCTGAAAGGCAGGGACAAACTTCTGACCGTAAACAACAGTGAATGCTGTTTTAATCACATGCTGTTCCAATCCCTGAAAACATTCTTTTCGTGAAAAGCAGCTAATCCTACTAACACTATTCATTATTTCAAAACAAATTGAATTTTTTACCTCCTCTAAACAACGGGCTTCTTCCTGTTGGTTCTCCTTCACAAAGTCTTCCAGAGGATACTTTAGCCTTGGAAATGGAGCAATAGGCCAGTCCAGGGATGGAATGTCCAATTTGTGAATTGCTTTAGAGTGAGTTGTAGCTAAGCAACCTAAACTCAGAAAAGCAAAAATTAAAATAACACCTGTCTAGGAACAATACAGGAAAAAAGTTACCAAGAGGTGAAAAATTGCCTGACACCAGGACTGTAGAATTCTCTTAACTGCTCTATCTTTCTACTTTATTTTCTGAAATACTGGGTAATTGGATTTAGTCAAGCTTAAGTGGATTTCTCTAGCTTTTAAGCATCAGTTTCCACAGGCACTGTTCCAGAAGAACAGGATAACCTCTGTCGATCTGAACAGGTTGCTCAGACGAGATGGGCTTCACCTGTCCAGAGACAACTGCTCGCAAAGCTCAGAATTACAGCACTCTTGGGTAACATGTTTAGAACAGGGATTGAGCCGATATAACATGGTAAAAATGAGTGACATCTCGTTTGTATATTGTGGTGATTTTACCCCAGGAGTTAGATTTTTACTAGTATAGACGGGAAACCTTGGATTCAGAATGAAAATAAGAGAGCCTCTGAAAATAAATTTTCAAAAAATATAAAATTAATTTCCACTGTCACTCAAATATTCTGTTTCAGTACTGGTGGGGCTTCCAAGGCAAACCTTCCACAAACGTACAGCTTCTCCACTGGTACTATGTGTCTAAGGAAGAAAACACTTCAGAAACTACAGTGAGATGACAGCTTACGGCAGCGGCTGGGAGGAGGGAAGGGAAAGGGAGGTGTTGCCAGCAGCGCTTTGCTTACCCAGGGTCCTTCCGTGGAAGCCGCCCATGAAGGAGAGCATGGCGTAGTCGGGGCAGCCGGGGGGCTGCAAGCAGAGCAGACAGGCGGGCAGTCAGCGTGCGGTGCTGCGGGCAGGTGGCCCTGCCGCCGCGCAGCTGCGGGCGCCTGACGCAACCCAGACACGAGCCCACGGCCAGAGCACGATGGGATGGCTGGGTCCAAGCTGCTGCCTCTCGCAGCATGCTGAGCGTTTTCCTCTTCAACCATCAGGCACCGCAAATTGTTATATTTACCCAGTTAAACAAGCACGTTGGTCGTCCCCTAAAATGTAGGGGGACCTGCACTGACCTCCTAAAATACATCATTAATACTAATGAATACTTGGCAATTTATACTGTTATCATAATATCACTTCACACACGAGCTCACAGAAAGGCTGAACAAAAAAGCCCCTTTTTGTACAAACTATGAGCACGTGTGTCCGGGGTGGCCGAGCCCAGGGATGGCCTCGGGGGTTCCGCAAAGAGGCCAGGGCTGCCTCGTGCCAGCTGCCCCGTGCCTTCCTGATGACTCGCTGTACCAAGAATGAGAAGGAGCCATGACGAAAAACATGCAAACTGTATACTACTGGAATTTAATAAAAGGATATACTTGGGCTAACCCCCCCACCCCCTCTAAAACTACGAATTCTCTTTCTTTGTGCCTCTCTCTTATCCTGCAAGTGAGAGGACTGTCGCCACTTACACACTCCGTTTACACCTTTAGTCTTGTACCCCACACTCAGCTACAGGGTCAAGGCTCCAATATTTGTAACTGGATTCTGGAGGATCCCCCCCAAAAGGGGGACTGGAGTTGCCCTCTCAAATCTATCCCCTCCCCCAACTGTAAAGAGAACTCAGACAATTAGCTCAAAGAGGAATCCTAATGTTTAGATAGCTAAACAAAAAGTGATCATTAGTTTTACAAGTCTTTGGTCATCTTATAAAATTCCTGCTCCTTCAGGTCATGATGTGCCATCCTCTTATTTGTATTGGCACAGCCATCTCTCTGACCATGCTGTAAGCAACATCAGAGAACTTAAAAAATAATTCTGAAGACAAACAAAACAGAACAAAACCCCCCTATAAGAACCCTCGTCATTTTTAAGCCAAGTAAGTTCCCTAATCCCCTGTGAATTAATTGAATGCTTGTCACTACAGAAGTGCTAAAGATCAGGTTGGGACCAGCAGGTTATTAATTTCTAACATGTTTATCTCGAAGAAGAGATTAAATACTCTGTTTTTTGCTATTGTTGCAAGTCAAGATTTGTGACTGGCAAGAGCAAGACAACCTCGGTTGAAGGTGAGCAGGGCTTCAGAGGTTTATCAGCTGCATCTCAATTTCCTCATCCTGCCTGTTGTTAACATTTAGTCAGTCAAATTTTAACCAACCCCTTGATCGGTTTTAAGCTATAAAATCAGAACTTCTGAAAAAAATTAGAAGGTCAGCTGTTATTATTTGTAAACTTTTCCATGTATTAATGCTCTCTGTGGACCCATCCATCATGTGGGCCCCCCTCTAGCAAATGATGTGTCATGAAAACAGGGAGATCTTCCCAAGATTCAAGGATGCAAAAGAATACAAGCAGCAGGTTTTCATATTTGTTGGGAGCAGTTTGTATTTCACCACTTCGTAAATTTACAAAACCGAGATTCCACTTCAGAGATAGTAAACCAAATTTTTCCTCCCAATCTTCCCTTATAAACCCAAGCCAATGGTACATCTGGAGGGGTGGTAAAGAACGAATGTTACCTGGTTAATCATGCAAGATTCCAGTTCCTCTTTGGTGACATTATTATGGCCCCTCTCCTTGTTCTGGAAAAAAAAAACCCAAACAAATCAACCCAACAGATAGTTTTCCCATAGTTGTAACCAATGCATTTATGGCTGAACCACAAATTAGTAATGCTGGTATTCCCAGCTAGAGCCAATGAAGACACTGACTGTGGCTCTTACATACTGACTGCTATCCACATTTTCTTTATTTCCTTTTCTTTACAATTTCTAAAGTTGTGCCAATATAAAGTGAAAGCTTAGATGAAGACTTTTTAATAAAGATTTTATACTAGGTTGAATATAAATAACATCATGAAAAAGACAACCTCCAAGCCTTACTTTGTTTTACAGTAACAGTTCTGATGATAAGTAAATACTCATTTCTACCTCTAAACCTACAAAAACCATCTTAATATTTTACTCACTCTGTACCACATAAATATTGCTTTAAAGGCATTTTCATTAGAGCAGGATCCGCAAGACATGGTGATCACCTGTGGCAGGCCCTTAGGAGCCACCTGTCAATGGAGACAGAAAATTACTCCAAAATATTAAGCACAAGTATAGTGCACAGTGATGATAATAATGATCAGTCCTTAACATCATGAGCTTCAGTATAATGGGAGACCAACCGTGCCTAGGATGAGGAAAGCCAATTTCAACTGCAGCTGAGAGGGCTCAACTCAGTTTCCGTCCCAAGGATCGTCAAATTTAAATCAAGACAAACAGAAGCCACTTATTCCACTGTCTCTTATGAAAGCACAGTGAACAGAAGTTAGTGAAAATGTGTTTTCTCATCAGTTCTTGAATCCAGAATGAAAGAGGCAGTATCTGTGCAGAGCAGACATGTCACCCTCTCACATTCAGCTGTCAAGTCAGGGAGAAAGGTTTGATCTCATTACTTGCAGTGGGAAGGCAGGTGGACAGTCAGCTAACCTGTAATGTTCCTTATTAAAATCCGTAACATCCCTTGATATGCCCGTGTCCCTAAACACAGAACATGGTAACTCATCACTGCTATCTCAAACTTACTGATAACAAAGATTCCTTCAGTCTTTCCGCAAAGTTCTCTGGAGGTAAAATCCCTAGGGCAGGTCTGTTGATAAAAGTGCTCTACAAAGACAAAGGAAGAGAAATTGTTAGGTTTCACTATCACATGAAAAATACCATGTTGGTATCAAGGCAGTTACATTTTATTCTAATTACAAATACCAGCCAGAAATTTGTAGCCATGGCACAAGGAGTTTTAAAACTAGGGAATTATATTCATGTCTTAGAATATGTTTTTCTGTCTAATCCTTAATACTTTATTCTTGCAGGACACCTTAGAAAAGGTGCATGCTAACCGATACTGACATTTCCTCTTCAATATTGCCGTTTTAGTTGCTCTATCTCCATTTTCCTTATACACAGGAAATACACTTTAAAATCTTAATTACTTGCCTTCAGTTTGAGTAGCTAAATCTAAATTCAATTAGGACAGCAGCACGTTCTTCCTTACTGAGCTTCAAGACAGACCATTTCACAACACTGTGGTTATAAACATCCTCCAGATACTATTACAATGGGATTGGGGGGAACAAGACAAAGGTGAACTTAAAGGATAGGGGCTACATCTGAGAAAGAAACACACATGCAAGGATCAGCAACGCAACACTCCAGTAACATAGATTCCTGACAAAAAATTTGTGCACACAGGCATGCTGTGTCCCTTCTAGACTCCTCTGACATGTCCAGTAACGGGCAGTGCAGTGAGGAGATCGGTGAGAAGCTACCCTGTGTGTTACTACCTCACTACGCAGCAACACACGTTTAATCAAGCTCAAGAACATTGACCATGATATATCCAGACATGTTGGTGAAATTCCTTTTCAACTGTGTACTGTTCTCATGAAGGCTGCTGATTTGCAGGTAAATATTTTCTGTTTTAGAGCCTTCAGTTTGCACAGTCACCCTTCTCAGTGCCTCAGCCTGAATTACAGGTACGTTCTTTATTGTGCATTACAACAGCAGATTTCTAGCTTCCCAGTTTTCTCCTTTCCATTTCCTGATGGAGGTCTGACATGGACCAGGAGACATTTATGCTGAAATAGTCTTCATGGATGCGATCTCTCCTAACAGTGGTATTCCACAGCCTACCGGGAAACTACCTGGTTGAACTCATGTCTGCTTCCCAGAATTCTTTTCTCTAACCATTCCCTCTCCCTGTCTGTCAGCAGAACTGAATCTGTGCTGCTGCAAGAGCCTTGGCAATCACAGGAGTGACTACAGGAACGCAGCCTTCCCCTGCCTATGTGGAGGTTACTGAGAAGACGGAGCCAGGTTCCAGGCTTTTCAATGGGAAGATGAGAAGCAATGGGCATAAATCAAAACACGAGAGGTACTGATGTGGGTATAAGGAAAAGGTTTTTCACCAAGAGAACAGTAAAGCAGTGGAAAAGACTGCCCAAAGAGGCTGTGCAGTCTGCCTCCTTGGAGGTTTTCAAGATGCCAGACAAAGCCCTGAGCAACCCGGTCTGATCTCACAGCCGACCCTCTAAGCAGGAGGTTGGGCAAAAGACCCCGAGGTCCCTTCCAGCTTGAATTGTCCCTTTGGTCCTACAAACTGGCCTCATCAGGACTCACACCTTTGAGAAAGGTAATTTCGGTGTCAGGGAACAGCAGCTGGTGGGAATGCTGAGCCTGCTGCCCACACAGGTGTTTCTAAAGAGCGGCTCTGGAAAACCCCCTCAGTCTCCCCAGTCCACTAATGGAGATGAATTTGTCATGTTTATGCAATCAATTTAAATTAAGTGTCACGGATTAAAATTGAGTCATCATTGCTCTTAGTCTTTGTAGGTAATCTTATTTGATTCACAATGTGTGCTACTTTTTATTTTAAATTAAATCTGCTGAGAAAAGGACAAGCTGAATAAATTTGCCAACTGCAAAGCAGCATTATTTACCCTTTTTTTTTGTTCATTTGTTGTTTTTCGTGTTGTTGTTATAACAAGTCATCGTAGAAATTAAAGGCTGAGCTTCGATGACTTAAGTCTTTATGGGTCTCCAGAGGGGATGGACTGCATTTTCAGTGCAACCCAAGCTTGCACATTTATCAGCATCCTTCAATCTTTTTCCTCGATACAAGTACTCATTTATTCAGATGTGTGGACCACAGCAAGAGGTGTGAGTGGTCACACTGTACGTGTAAGAACACTTCATCAGAATTCTTAGGAAAAAACAAGTATCACACAAGATATAACAGAGTATAAGCTAGGACTTTGTAACTTCTACTAGTGTGTTACTTCCAAAACAATGTTTGTTTTAACAGACTCAAGCTTAAAAAAACCCCAAAAAACTAAGCAGTGTGTTACTGACAGATTAACACAAAGTTTTTTAGTACGTATGAGAAATCTTACTTGACTTTTTATCTCAGTTTAGAAGCACATTTTCATATAAAGTTAGAGACACGAGACCATAAATTTGTTGTGGATTTGATTATGGGCTGTCACAGTCAATTGACAACATTTGCCATTAAGCAGAAAGGTGTATTTTTCTTTTGTTTTTAATGAGATACTCAGTACTGAGAAAAACAGAACATTGACATCAAGCTGCTGCGGTCTCAAATGAACGGATGCGTATTCTGTTCTTCATAGCTGGCTATAAAGAGGGTACATGGAGCATTACAAACAAACCAAACCAAAAATCCCTACAGGAAAACACCGATCCCATCATTGACATTAAACAAGGGCCCTACCTCAGTGTGTGTTACTCAGAAAAAGTACTTTCACAATGAAGCTGGCACTTTGTCTGCAGTCAGACCCCAGCACGCGCTCCTGCCTGCAGCGAGGTTCGCACAAGTTCTGGCTCTTCACAGCTCTCTGGCCTTGGCACTGCAAAACTGACATCCCGCCTGCACTGTGCCCAGGCTAAAGCCTGCCAGAAATCCTAAGTGCGCAGTCAGGCGCAGACTAACAGGTTTAGTGCCACCCTCTCCACTGAATTAGTGCAGGTTTCAGAAATTGGAACAGGGTACCAATAACATCTTTGACGCTTATATGTGGGAGTGGGGGGGCCTGGTTGCACCATTCATTTTGGACTTCGGAAGCAGTTCCTTTTACTGCAGGCTTCTAGCTGGCAGCCTCTTAACCTCCCTTTTCCAGTGGACGAATTAGCAACTGCCACCAGACAATAGGGTTTTTTGGTTTTGGTTTTTTGTTGGCTTTGGGGTTTCTTGGGGGTTTTGTTTGTTGGTTTGTTTTTAAAATCTGACTTTGCCTACTGCTGCCGTTATAATGAAGGTATTGTTATCTCCTCAGAATAATTTTTACAAGTTAATATAAGTATTTAGAAATACTAATGCTTTTGTGATACCTGGATCTGCCTTTGATAACTCCAGCATTTCTAGCTCCAGTGTTTTTTTAAAAACTCGATGTATTTTAGTTCTGGGGAAGGCAGAATTTCTCATCCTAAAGAAATGAGAACTCCATAAAGCAAATCAGCCCAGGGAACTCAAATGTCTGCACTTCTTTGACATGCTGGCTCAGGATGTACACTCTGCTGGAGTAAGCCAGCAAGCTTTTTAGGAAGGGAAATGCAGGTATGAGAGGGAACTGGCCCACGCTTGAGCTATGCCCTTGCAGGCAGCGTGGACACTCGTTAGTGGTTTGCAGAACCAGGGGCTCAATCACTAAAGTCAGTACAAGCAACAAGGATCTACTGATGTGCAGTCAAAAGCCAGTGAGCTCAGTTTATCCATGTACTATATACATAAGCTACCGTGCCAAAAAAACTTACAGTTTAAAAAACTGCACAAAATCATTATAGAATCCCAAACTTCTGTCCAAGCAGTGAAAAAATGAAGCTTGAAATAGAATGTAAGTTCATTTCAACAGCTTCTGTAATTTAATCCAGGTTATTTCCAATCACTATCAGTATACTGTTAGGGAAAACAGGAAGATACTTTATTTAAGAAACAGTTATTTTGTTTTGAAATAATCCTGTTGCTCTAGTCTAATGATTTTAATTTTTCAAGGACATATCAGTGGTTTAGTCAACTTAGGGCTTAGGAGATGGGAACCAGCCACTACCCT